TTAACTCCTTTTTTGTTTTTTTGAACACGATAATGGGATGGAACGTTAGAATTCTAATAGGGGAAGAAAATAATTTCACTGATCAGGCATATTGAGTCACATCATCCCTTCCATTAGAAAAACTAAGATATGTCAGCCTTGTTAATTTCCAATTTGGTTGTGTAATTAGAATATATTTTCTTTATTTTTGTTCTCCTATTCCATGTTTTAATCTTTGATGCGTTGTTTGTGTAGCAGGGAGCTGAACCATTTGTTAGGAATGTCTTGGCAAGCATGGAGACTGTTTATTTAAACAGGAATCCTACTGCAAAAGCCATCTTGGAGCTTGTCCGTTCAAATGATGATGATGATAAAATTTTCTATGATCATTTTGCATTCAGGACATTTGGAGTAAGCTATCCTTATGCATGTTCATTTAGTTGAGAACCTCAATACTTCTTATTATTCTATGCAAAGAATTAGGGTTGCTTCTAAACAGAAATATTTAAATTTGATAATTTAAAATTTCTGTGATCATTTCGCAGTTGGAGTAAGCTATCCTTACTCATGTTTGTTCATTTAGTTGAGAACCTCATTGCTTCTTATTACTCCATGCAAAGAATTAGGGATGCTATTAAACTGAAAATTTAAATTTGACAATTTTGCCACAATACCTTCAAAAGATTCTTTTTAAAGTTTAAACTGAGAGAGAAGGGGCATATAAATAAGAAAAAGGAAAATTTGATCATGTATATACATTATTGACTGTTACTTAATTTATCAATTCATCTTCTAGGTCAATGGTTATGGAATTGATTCCATGGCAAGCTTTTTCCTGGACTATGGCTATACACAGAAGGAGGAGCTCACGTTTCCTGCCAAAAAGTTGAGAGCTCTGTGGTTTTCCCCTCCCAGTACTTCCTTACCAGATGGCGCCACTGGTGTTAATGGGCCTTTGCCTAGGATTTTTATATCAGAGCTTCTTGTGGATCAAATGAGTCCAAAAACTCAGGTTTGTTTTTTCATTTGTTTTTGCACATTTGTTTGAGTACAGTAATGATTTTACTAGAGCTTTATTTTTTTTTTCTGGTTAAAAATTCTGTATAAAATTGTTATTATCTTTAAGTAGAAATTGTTCTATTTTACTCATTTCCACTTGCTGCTTCTTATTTAAACTTGATTCTGGTGACATTGATGATTGATGTGGGCTCAGCAGTAAATGTTAATTTGCTTTTCACTTGGAAATAAACATTTTGGGGATTTGGTTGGGCTTAGGTGTAACTTGTGTAGTGGTTTTGGAGATTATGATTATGTGGAATGTGCCTTGAGCCTATAGACTAAAATTTATTGTCTAGGATACCGTTGGAATACATTGACAAAATGGTTAGTGGATCCAACAGATTGAGATGACTTTCAAGATTCGATACCTATAGCCTTCCATCAAGTTATTAGACAACATATCTTCTCTAGTTGGTTGATCATCTGTGATGATTGGATTAATAGATCCTTAATTTTTGTCTCCCAATCAGATTAGATCTGTCCTTTTCATTTGTGGATAAATAGAACAATATCTTAGTTATTTTGCATATTAATGTGAATATATATATATATATATTTATCAAATATGCAGATGTGGTTAAAATTAAAATTGCTAATTGCTATTGTATGTGCCTATTTTACTTTGTTTCTCATCCCTAGCTTCTTCCACCATTTAGATAGACCCTCCCTTTGTGACCTGTATTTCTTTTTATTTGGATTGTGTTATCTCCTTGACCTTTGTTTAACTATAATTATATATAATTTGTGTTGCATCTAACTCTAAGTAAATCTAATTAAAATTGCTGTTATATTTCAATGTAATTGCTGAAGACTACTTTGTGGCATAACCTTATTTCTATGCTTTGGATCACATCCTCACTTGTTGATTTTAGTTAGATTAGTTAGTTACTGCCCATTTGTTGCCCCATGTTTGACATGCTCCTATCTACATCCAGGAGATAATCAGAAAATACACTGAAATATCTGGTAGGGGAAACAAGCATGCAGTTCTTGCAAGTGTTCTGGGATCATTAACATGGGAGAAACCATCATATTCTGAGTTTCAGCAATTGGCAAGGTACTTAGCTTTGATTTTACAACACTAAATGTATCTTTAAAGTTATTTGGGAAAACTCATATCATTCTGAAGAAGATTGAGTAGCAGATGCTGTATTTCGAATTTGAATTAAAATTTATCCATTTTT